GCACTGCTGAGCCTGGCCCTTCCCAGGCCGGGTTTGTACAAGGGGGATGCTCTGCTTGGTGAGCGGGGCTCTCCCAGGACACACCAGTGACATCCCCCYAGGTGCTCTCAGGGAAATCCATTCATTTCTTTGCTTTCCTGCAAAGGCAGGACCCTGCTCTAACCCCCATCAACAACAGCCCAACAGTGCAGAGGATGGCTGTCACACCAAAGCATYAACAGGATCCAAACTATTAGAAACAAAAACTACAATCAGTTTGCAGGCYCTGTGTTTATAACCTCATCCAGGATGCTGCAGGCACCACTGGGCCAGGACTGTCTGCCTGCTCATCCCTTGGTCCTGTATATTTGTTGAATTCTCTTACATCTGGCCTTCATTTGTGTTAGAAAGTCACTGAGGCAAAAGTAGCCAAAGTACCCAMAGACTCTGAGGCCCGTTATCTGATGGGCATTTCTATTACAAATTCAACRTTAAAGGCAGCTAACTCAAAAGAACAAAAATTCGAGCAGCTGGACTAGATGATTGCTGCACATCTTCTAAAATTTTATTCTGAAGTTTTTATCACCTGATCATCTCCTGGCAAAAGCACTATACAGAATTCTTCACTTTAGGCACAGAAGAATAAAACAGCAAAAAGAAGTATTATTTGTGCCTTATGTTTGCTTATCAAAAAGAAAATACTCTCCAAAGATTGCTCACTGTATCACACATTCCCATGGGGCAGGCTTAAGCTTCAAAACCTTCCTAACAAAACAATGCCTCAAAGCAAGTTACTTGATCCATGATTTATAAACCAGAACATGTTCTAGTCAACAAATTTTAGCATTTGGGACAAGATCAGACTGAAAATGTAAAGGAAAAAACAAACATGGATTCTTTGGCCATTATAATGTTTCTCCTGTTATAGTTTAAGTGATTTTCTATGAAGTTAGTGGAGGATATGTTTTAGAGCAATCTGATTCCTCACAATTATCAGGTGTAACACGTTTGTCTCTGCCCACACTCTGAATTCTTACAGCAGTGCCATGCAGTTTGAGATTTATCAAAAAGTGTGTGAATACTTTAGTGATTCTGCAATGCAGAGCAATGCAAATGCAGCAATGCAAAGCACTGCCATTCCCAGGAGAGGCAACTCAGGACTGCCACATCCTAGAAACTCAACCATCCTTTGCATTTGCCCTGTGACCACCCTGCTGAAACCAGAGGAACCTTTTCACCACAACTTCCCAACGTGGCTTTGGAGCACAAGACCTACAAGAAAGTGGAAATCCCAGTCACTCACTCTCAGTACCTCTTTTTATATAAAGGGRGTGACAGCACTTCCTTTTTTCTACTGCTGGTCTGCTTCCTCTGGGCAGACCCCACACTGCAGAGCACAGCAGGGCAGGGCAGGGCAGGGGTGGCCTTGGGAGGGACTGACACTGAGCTCAGCAGTGCCTGGGC